ATCTTCTGGCTCGTTGCCTGAGGACTAAGCTGGAGGATTTATTCCCTCTTACTTGCTTATGTTCCCCTCCAAGACTTTTTGCTTCTTAGCTGGGTACGCAGGAGGGCAGGCACAAATGCTTCTGGTCCCCAACATTGCCACTGGTGTGGGATGGGAGATGGAATCCTGGCTGGAGACCACAGGAATGAATCTCCCCTGACTGGGGAAGGGATAGACCCAGCTGTCCCTTGTTCAGCATGACCCCACTGTTACCTCCCTGCCTAACCAGAGCAACCTTGCTGCTTGAGTGGGAGAAAGGGTAAGATAAGAAGAAAGAGTCCAAGCACTTAGATACGTGTGGGGTTTCTTACTGCTTTGTTCCAGACTGCTCACACACCTTGTAGCTTTCTGAATCACCCTCAGTAGCATCTTGGTCTCTCCGCTTTGTATACAGTGAGCACGGACATCTAACGTGGGCTGGGACAGCCAGCTGTGGACAAGTACCTGCATTCTGGTTAGTGCAATAGCTAATGTAGATGCTTTAGTGACTTTGCCAACAATATAAGCATGTATATACACACACATGCTCACAAATCAGAATTTAAAATTTGAATTTTGTCAGTCAAGCTCATGATTTACTTCTTAATCAAGAGGTATGTGGGCCCAACTCAATAGTTATCAATTCCTTTCTTTTTTCTTTTTTAATTTTCTTGGATTTCTTACATGACATTTATCCATTTCTCAGTTGTTTTTTTGGTGCAGTACTATCTATGTGCTTCTAAGGCACTGGGAATACGTAGCATGTTTGTTTCTTTTGCCTTTGTTTTGGAATTCCTGAGACTGCCTTCAACTTCTCATTTCTTTAATTATGTTTATGGAATTTAGTGATTAATTATTTTGAAGTAAATGTGCTTGTATAAAAGAATTAGCATAAGAAAAATCATGGCTACTGATGTCTGTTCTCCTTAATTTATAAAATTATTTGAAAGCCATTTGTGCAAGGTGTTGCTAATCTTTTTTATATGACATGCATTGACACAGGTATATTCTTTTCGTGCTATACGTCTGTAATATTAGGAACTCTGTTTAGAAGAAGAGAACGCTTTGTCTCTGTGGCTATCACAGTCCAAGTAATATTTTACAAATCTATTTCTATGAACAAAACGGTGCCACCTACACCAAAGAGAAGTAGACAAAGTCAAATTGAATAGGATATTAAAGTCATACTGTACTCAGTTGACAGTATGGGAACTTGACTGTTCCTACTGAAGATCAAAGCCTCTTTGCTGCATATAAGCAATATTTTGTTGTTTCTCATTCAGCCTTTGCAGGCCAGAACCATGGCCATTTTGTATTGCATCCCCATCACGAAACTGCCCTCTTATCAGGGTCTTCCTAAAACATAGTGCTGATGTAGACACTGCTCTGACAAGTTGGGTGTCTCAGTGACTCCTGGCTGCTATGGATGCCTTCTGCCCAGATTTGAAGGAGTGTTGTGTTTCTCCAACTGTGTAGAGTAGAGAATATTGTTTTACCATGGCATTGTATAAGAGACCCTAAATTCCACCATAGTTCATCTCGTTATTAGTGAATTGATATACATGCAATGCAGTGTTGCTGTGTCTTTGCCTTTACTTCAGATGAGATTATTGTAATGAACTCTTCAAGATTTTTGCTTGAAATTCACTTATAAGGGCGAACTGGTGTAAAGAATATTTGTTCGCCCCATCATGAGAAAAGCCATTTACTTGTGCTCCCATTGTACTGAGTTTCTATTCATTTCAGGGCTCAGCAGGGATATTTGCAATTAATATATGGGACTAAGTTTAAATGTGCAATATTTAAAGTTGGCTGGGAGATGCGTACTTCTTGTTTCTTAGAGTTGACCCCCTGTTGTATGAAATAAATAGTTCAGTGCTCCTGTCATTTAAAATACATTCCCTTTCTCATGACTGGGGAGGCCATATCAGATAGATTGTAAGAGTCACTTTAAAATTTGATAGCTTATTTCTAGTTTTGAGTGTTGTAGCTGGGCTGCCAGCGTTTCATGATTGTCACAGTAACTCTAATTATGTTTATGCCTCTCATTATGATTGGCAAATATAATTTTTATTGGAGTTAACTGTTATAGCCTCACCGTTATGCCTCTCCAGTACATCAGAAGGGACATTATTATAAATAGATTATATTCATGGAGGTGGGAAGATTGCTAAGCTATTACTGTGTTGCTTTGAAGATACCATACTGTCATTGTTCTCAGCTCCCTATTTTAACTACCAGTGACAGTTCTGTTACTATCCCCACATGACATTTACGGTTCTTTGCTTACTTTGGTCAAAAGTCTTAGAGAAAATCTGTGTTGAGTGTCTTGTTGGGAAAGAATTTTTACAGGTATGTAACTTGTTTTTTGAGAGATGTTGCTAAAAAAAGATGAAAACCAAAGCTGCAGCAGTAGATAAAGCCTTTGTTATCTAATAAGAGAAGCTACTGTTATTTAAGTAATTGCAACAGTCTTATGTGTAGTAAAAAGTAAGAATAAAGGGACGATTTCAAGCAAAATTCAGGCTTTTCCAGAAGCTGAAGTACTCTAAGGACAGGAGATCAGGACTTCCTAGATAATTTCTGTGGCATTTTTTCCATCTCTTCTTGACTGGGCAGGTAGAGCCAGAACATGCAGTGTAGTTTGTTAAACTTTTCTCCTATGCCCAAGTTAAGAAAAATAAATACTGTCATACTTTTTAATTGATGGAAAACATAGCTCTCCATCTTTGGACTCAGGTGAAAGCTATTTGTTCATAGGACCATATTTACCTGCAATTGTTGCCCTGGGTATGTTTTATAATAGAAGATACCCTGAGGCATACTCTGCCCTGGCAAAGAGTTTTTTCAAAATATATAGCAGGAAATCTACTTCAGAGGTGTATTCTGTACTGACAGAAAAGTGCTTCCAGCAGTGTAGCAAATACTGCTTCCCCAGACAAAATTATGGTACACTGGCAAAAAGACAGATTTTGCTGGTAATAAATTGCCTTGAACAAGGGGTTTTAGCAGTCTGGACCAGTCATAAAATGATACATAGACTGATAATTGTACTGACTGAAGTGTTGAGCCTGGTTTGAAATTGCAGGAAAGCAATCCAAACTCATCAACAGAACAGTATGACAAATTATCTCTGATATGTTTATTCTACTTGTCATTTGGACTTAAATTCAGGATAGACTATTGACTGTCTTCTACTGAGACAATGGTATTCAGTCATTCCTACAATATCTGTATGTAATGAGGTTGCAGAAAATATAACTGTGAATGTGCCAAGAATCATCAGTTCTGTCTTAAAAACGTGGTCCTAATTCAGGCAGCAGCTGGGCCACAGTGCTTTTATCAACAAGCAGGAAAGCACACACCGATGGTTTCCATATCAGCACACTGTGCACATCTCGCACTGTTCTCTGCTGTAAAAGACTGTTTGGCATGTACTCAGCCAAAATCAGAGATAACTGCAAACAGATGGAGGTGATCTCTAATAGATCCAAAGCAATGTCATCCTCCTCCAACAGAGAGCTTCATATATAGATTATTCTGATGGCCATTTAAGATGTTACTTCGTTTATAAAATGGTTGTAGTAGTCACCTATTGATTTGGAACCAAAAAACTGTGAGCTAAATGGAGAGTAGCTGGGATGCTTTTTTTCTCTCTCAGAAATTTTGCAACCTTATCATGGTACCTAATTTATTCAGTTGCTATTCTAAGATAACAAAAATTAGTCTCTTCACACCTCTTGAAAGAGACCATTTGCTATAGAAAACTTTCTCTAGCCAGATCAGATAGATAGGCTGTGTTTTCAAGCAAACATAATGCTTGCGCCAGCATAATAGATAAAATGCTGATAGTGTAGTTTCAAGAAACTCTCTAATAAATAAGTTTTTGGTACCTCTTGCTGAAGTTTAAGTTCCTGTTGGTTATATTCTAATATTTCCTTTGAATGGGCTAGATAACTAATCTAGTTTTAGTTCATGGAGTGTGCATAACCTTCAAAGGGAAACCTGTATGAATTGCAACCTTTCTTGGCTCTATAACTATCTTTATAGCTTTTACAAGTCACCCGACTTCTGTGATTTCTGTGTAAGTCAGCCTATAGCAAGATTTGAGCAGGAAAAGGGATTCCATTTCAAGGATGATTTTCCTATTATAAAATTTAGTTTTGTTTCATTTGGAAATGAAGATAGTTTATACATCAGTTCTGAAAGTGGATGCAGTCCATCTGTCTTGGAGAGATTTGCCTTTGGAAACTACTGCCATCAGGCAGGGTGCAGAGATGGGAACGTGAGTTAGTAGAAGACAAGTTGTTTTTTTTCTGGGAAAATCACCTTTCCAGCAACTCCTGGAGTTGTGAGGAGTATACCATAGCATTATTTAGTTTATTGAGTTGTATGGGTTTTTTACACATAACAATCAATTTTTTAGTATGGTACCATACTGAGGACAGTATATGAAGGAAACTCTCTTTTCTAGAGCTTTGATAAGTTGAAGCAGATGGAAAACCAGGAGCTTCTTCAAATATAGATATCTCAATACATTTTAATGCCTATCTCGGGCACTCCAGTTTGAGCAAATTGATTACTACATAGAGTTAAAGTCTGAGCTGAGATAAGTTACATGTAGGGAATTAATGGCATAGTAAGATTGGTATGCGATGCAGCAGGCATTCTTACCTCTTTTTTTCTTACTTACATGGACTGGAGTCTTTTAAGAAAGTGTTAACGATATCTCTTCAGGCTGGGGTTGCAGGAAGTGGCGGAGGTGAGAGAGGCAGGTGGTGCCGCCTGCAAGAGCAGTAAGCTGGGGGCAAAACGTTCTGATTAACATCACATTCCTTTCCCTAGTGTGCCAGGGACATGCACGGCTAATGGCTCTTGTCAGCCTGAGGAGGAGCGACCCACCAGTCTACCACATTTTTACATTTCTTGAAACTAATCACCTTTTAATATTTTCCTAACTCTCATTTTCTACTTATCTGCAGCTGAAGTTCAAAGTGAAATTGAACGGATTTTTGAATTAGCAAGGACACTGCAGTTGGTAGTGCTTGATGCTGATACCATTAACCACCCAGCTCAGCTAAGCAAAACCTCTCTGGCACCCATTATAGTATACGTAAAGATTTCTTCTCCTAAGGTAAATATTTTACTGATATTCATGCTGTTTCTGTCTTTTTTTTTTTCCTTTTTTGTTCTTAAATGCATATAATCACATGTCTCCATTAAAATTCAGAGCTATATATTGTTATTGCTTCCCTTTGGTTGGTGAAATATTATTAATCAAAAAAGTGTCTTAGCTCTGGTGTTACCAAAACCCATTTTTGAAAAGATGCTGTAGCTACAATGGCTTTTTTAAATTGGAATTGAACTTTTAGTATCAGTCATCTTAGTAATGCTAACAGTTTGTTAAATCAAAATAATACAGAAATTAAAGTAGTATTTTCACATAATGAATATCAGACTGATTGGTAAACTTTAACATCTCCTGGTAATGTATCCTTTCATTCTGTGAAAAAAACTGCACAGACCTTGTGAAGAGGCATTTGAAAGAGAAGAACAAATTATGGGAAGACAACTCAGGAGGGCAATTAAATAATTTGCACTTAGAAACAAAACCAGAAGCAGCAAAGGAAAATAGGAGGGGAACTTTTTAGTACTCTTAACAGGAAAGGAGATGTTGAGAAGTAAATGAAAATGAGCTTGTTCTGGGTGTAAACAGCATGGGTAATGCTCCTGAAGCCAGAAAACAAAGAATTTTAACTGCTCAAATGGACAGTTAAAATGTCAACATTTTAAGTAGTTACATCTGTACATTAAGTCCAATCCAGCTCACTTAGTATTAATGTCTTATTTTTCACAGGTTTTACAGAGGTTAATAAAATCTCGAGGGAAATCTCAGGCCAAACACCTTAATGTTCAGATGGTGGCAGCTGATAAACTGGCACAGTGTCCTCCCGTGAGTTATTATTAATTTATGTCTCGTCTTTGAAAGGTGCCTTTCTTTTCAAGCTCAGGGTTAATTACATAATTTCTGGGAAAATGTTTGCCCTCTTCTGGCCATAATTCACTGTTGTTTTTTTGCAGAACGCATCATGAGGTCTCTGGACTCTGCACAGGGGTGCAGGGAAAAAAACAGTCCCAGTCACAAGCAGTTATTAGGATACGTGCTGAATACATTCACCACTTGAACAAACTGAGCATTTGTTTTACTTGATAGTTGAATTGAGGTTATTGTTATAAAGATGAACCCTCTTAGTGATGTGCTTTACCTCTGGCAGTTTAGGGTAAGGCCAGTGGTTTGGGTAGCTCCCCTTGGGTGTATGTCACTGCTGCCCATCACTGCTGACGCTTTTGGTCACAGTTTTGGCAAAGAGCTGTGGGATAGTGGGTAGCTGAGAGAACTGCAGTGCACTGATGTGCACTGAAGCAAATTCTCTTAACTTCCACCTATAAAGTGGAGATGACTAAACTGTCAAGAGTATGGGTAAGAGACCAGGAGATAAAGGTTCAATTCAGTTGCAAATGTGGGAATTTGCCTTAGTTACAGAGCTGCATAAGGGGAATGCTTTCAGCATTTCAGTTGAAGCATCTCAGTTAAGAGACTAGTCTCCTCAGGTCCCCATGAAGTCAGTGAATAATGCTAGAGACCTGCGTAGGCTCTCAAAGCTACCTTCAGGAGGACTTGTCTCCCTGACCATGGAGGGAATGGAGGAGACTAACTCCTAACTAGGAAACTGCCTCCTAACTTTAGATGCCTAAAATTAGATCATGTGACTAATCTCTTACCTAATATTTGTATGACACTTGGAAACTGGATGATCTATATTACTTGTATTTCTTACTGTTATTAGTTATTAGTCTTAGTTTGTTTTAGTTTTCTCTTAGTTGTTCTAGATAGGGCATTGAACCCCTTTTCTTGCCATTCCATTTGTTCCAATGGCTAAAAACTTTAATACTTAACCATTCTTTCTGGATATTTGAGTTTTAAGATTTGTTCAAGGTGCCTCTTCCTATCTTTCTTGACTGTGCATTAATAAGTGCTTTAACAAGTGTATCATTAGTACTAGTTATGATTGCTGTCCTTTGTATCAATTGCATTAAAAAAAACAAAACAAAACAAAATATCTAAGCATAAGTATTAATACAAGTATTAGAAATGTAGTTCATATTTGATGAATGGAAAGTGTGGTCATCTGTGTCTCTAGGTGATCTCCCTTTAGCTGGAGGTTATTCTCACTAAAACCTTTCCTTTTTCAGGAAATGTTCGATGTAATTCTTGATGAGAACCAGCTGGAAGATGCTTGTGAGCACCTTGCTGACTATCTGGAAGCCTACTGGAAGGCCACACATCCACCTAGCAGCAATCCTCCTAACCAGCTTCTCACTCGCACACTTGCAACAGCCACTCTTCCTATTAGCCCAGGTCCAAATATTAATTTACAGGTACAGTTTTTATGCCATCTCTTCTTTTTCTTCTATCAACTTCTTCCTCTTCCAAAGCACAGTGATAGTCTTGATACTAGAGCGTGCTGAATATGTTTTACTGTTGTTGATAAGAGTAAGAACTTTTTCAGAAGAGATTCACCCGTTTTCAGTATAAAAGGCAAATACAGGCACATTGTTGTTATTGCTGTTGTAGTCACAGTAGCATGTGTTTGTGTATTGACTAGGGGGCTGGTTTTGATTCCAAGGACTAAGCCAGCCTGACTGAAAACATACGGTGATGTGAAGCGGAATACTTAAGATTTCATTGTGCCCGGGACACCACTGTGCCAGTAATATGTGTACCAGCCACAAGCATTTTTGTAGCTGGCCATATATAACCCAATCAGAGGAACAAAACTGGGCTAATACTGTGCACGTTACAGCCTCTGGTAACTGTCTGTCTGATGGACACACTGCTGCTAATAGGCAAATCCCAGCCCCAGAGGCCCTGCGTGACAAATGGGGTTATGTACAGAGCAGATCCGCAAACGTTGGAGGGAATCTGTTCCTATCTTCCCACAGGCTATAGCGTTGTAGAGGTTGAGAATGACTGACTGTATTAGTGAAGTCTCAAAGTCAAAGTGGCCCTTCCAGTGTTTCCTTCGTTCTTTTATTCATTGGCCATTGCTGCGAAAAGTACATGCTTCCTTCAAGCCAAACTCTTCCATAAAACCCGAGTCCCGCTGCACATTGTGCAGAAAGACCCTGAGAAGCAATGTGTTCTGGACAGTGAGGGTAGTGTCTAGCGAGCTGGGAAATAAAGGCTTTATTCCCACCTCTGCACTGACCTGCCTGTTGACTTTGGGCATATTGTGTCTTCTCTTTTCTCCTTCAACTTTTGGTTTGTATAGTTATATTACAGTTCTCAGCATCTCATTTCTCTCAGATCCTCTCCTTTGTATATGTGTTGCATAGCATGAAATGAGGTCTTTGAAGATGCTACTTCATTTTAAATAGTGAGTGACGCCTTGAGGCAGAAAAGATTACAGTGGGGCTTAAAATACGTCTGTCCCAGCTCAAATAATGGCTTACTACATTTAAATTTCCACTGAAGTTCCATGTATGCCCATAAGTGATGAACTTGTGTCAGTTAGAATTCATAACTTTGGCTAAGAAAAATGTCTCCTTTTAGAAAATCAAAGAAAAAATATATCTTCACCCAAATTAAAATGCCAAAAATTTCCTTTATGTTTTTATGGTCTCACAAAACAATTTTTTGTGTCAAAGGATTTGTTTCCCATTAGAGGACCACAGACTTGGCAGGCTTGTTCTTTAACAAGAAGATTTACTTCAGCCACCTTGCAGGTTAACTTCATTTTTGCTTTCGAAAGCAGTTGCAGGAAAAGATACTGTAAGCTATAGCTCATTTCTGCCTTTTTTTCTGTCCTCAGAGCTGAAACACCCTGAAAAAATTGTGAGCTGGAAGAATTTCTTTCTGAGTATGAAATTCAGTATTGTTGTGTGCAGACTTGCTAGATAAACTTCCTTTGCTTTGTAGACGTGTTTATTACTTTGCTCAAGTTTTTTTAATGCCTTTTGGGTGTGGATTTATAGTTCACTTACTCATTTTATTAACCACATTCTCTGGAGGAACTACACAGAGTTTTAATAACACTTGTGAATGTTGTGCTATCTCCTTACAAATTAACAGACTTTTATTTTAAGGACTAAAAATGAGAACGTATTTGCAGTTTCACAGTTTGTTTGTAGGTCTGCTAATCCAAAAGTGCAAAGCAATGGAGGTCCCTTACAGAACATGCCACCAGCCATTTGACCTGGAGGGGCCTCATACGCACTGCGAAGGATCTGAGGCATTCTCCCCTGGATGCAGGGCAGCACCCCTTTGCCATGAGACATAATTGTTCTTTGTGGTTTTTCAGTCCCAGGTGTACATTATAACGAGAGATCTGTGTTGCCAGCTGCTAGTGATACTTTTACAGGATAATGCTGACTGTGTGCATTGCATGGCACGAGGTGCTCGAAGGTGTGAGGCCTCCTGGGACTGTTTGAAATGAAGTCAGTAAAGACCATACACCTCCTATCTATCTGATGGAGAGCTTTGGAGCAAACTGTCCTGACAGTTGTTCTCAGGTTTCCATTTGTAGGGGAATAGTTGGTTAATTCCAAAAAGAAGATTGGAGTAATCTGACACACATGATGCAGCAGATTAGTGACCACTGGATGGAAGTAGGGAGCAAGCCAAATTGAATTGGTGGACACAGACTTCTCTCTCCTCTTTCAACACTGCTTAAACTTCTTTCCAAGAACCTCTACTTTGAAATTACAAACTGAATAATGAAATGAACTTATCTAAAACTTTCTTGATTTTAGGCAAGAAACCTTATGAGATAGGGCCATAAAATTCCTGCAACTGAAGAATCTAATCCAAATCAGAGCCCTAATTTGGTTGTGAAGCACAAAGCCAGACCTTAATCCAGATTCAAACATTACCTGCTCAGTGTCCCTGTAATATTTAGGGAAAATTACTGTCAATGAATTTGCCCATAAATCCTAATAGCCCTAACACTATTCTGAAATTGCAGGTACTGGTTCTAAATGTATTCGTTGTGCTTCTCCACACGTACTCATCATAGCAGAGAAGATGCTTCTTGAGTTTGTAAAAGCAGCATTCTGTTCAAAGCAGGTTGAAATTTTGCATTTGTTCTCAAACCACAGCAATGACAGATTTAATTAGTCATAGTTTTATATATAGATGCATACATATTTGGCATTTGACCATATGAGAATTGAAAGGTTTCACGTGTGTAGCCAGTGTATGTGCCTTAAAAACAGTCCTGGTTGCAAACTCATAAAAATGTGTTTACACATCCAAAGCAGGCATTACTTTAGCCTTTAGCTTTTCAATTGATTTTATTTATAATTCACCTTTGTTGAGTCATTCCTGTTCCACTTGAACACATCTATTCATGTTTACAATTACTACGTTCCTTTTCTGGTAAATCAGAATCATCTTCAGAATCATAAAAACAAGAACAAAAAGGAATTTGACTGCTCTTTCTGTTACCTTGTTCTCATCTATACCATTTGTTTCAAATTAGGAACACATGGAGCAATCTGGCTGCTCGCTGGGAAGTTTGCAGAACAAAACGTTGTCGTAGAAAATGAAGATTTGTCAAATTTATCAAATTGCTGATTTGAAATATGTTACTTTTTACAAGTTTCTGATAAAATAGATGTGTGTTCCCATCCAATTTCTTGTCATTTTACTTCTTGGGTTTCTAAGAGACCCACCTGCCATGATCTATGGCTGAAGGACAAAATTTCCTCCTTCCCTTAGCTCTTTTCCACAAAATAGAAAGACAGAAAGAAGATATGTCCAAGAGCTGCCCTGGAGGCAATCCTCAATTTTAGACAACTCTGAATATAGGAGGGCAAACTTTAGACTAACTTTGGTAAATTCAGAATGGTCTCACAAATGCCTGTATAACTCTGTTGAAACCAACTTTAATTTTGTGCCAGTAAAGATGATTTTGTCTTGACATTCTTCAGCTCGTGAGAAGGATAATTCCATTTCCCCATAAACTATGTCTTAAAATTTTGCAATTAAGCTTGAGAAGTCTTTGGCTGTGTTTTGGGAATAAAAGCAGGTTAATGTAATGAAACCTCCGAATGAGTTAAATAATGCCACTTGTTCGTTTTGCAGTGATTTCAAAGCATTATGCTGGTGAAGAATAGGTTTGTTATTACCTGGTAATTCTTGTTTCAGTCTTTTAATAGTAGTGGTGTGTTAGGAAATTGTATAGGTGATAATATCGCTCTCCTCCTGCTTTTCTTGGCAATGGTCTGCATTCTTGAGCTCTTAAAATTATGAGGTCAAAGTTTAATTTTTTATTACCATGAAGAAATGGAATTATTGCTGAGAAAAACAGAAGGTCAGTGATACTATTAGTATCATAATACAAACTTTACTCATACCAGATTCACTTCCATTTTTTTCTTTAAAAAAAAAAAAAAGCTACTCTAAAAGAGCCAAGGTTTTGTACTTTGGTTCTCTGCTGGAATCCACCTCCTCAGCCCTATAAATCACGTTCCCATAGTGGCTGTTTCCCAGCTGTCATCTGTAGACTCTCAACTGATATCTGCCCTCTCCTGATATCTCAACTGATATCTCCTCCTCTTTAATTCTTCTGCAGTTTGTCCTGCTTCTGCATGGTCTCTTTTTGTCTGGAGTGTGGTAGGCAATTATTGCTAACTGGAATAGTCAGAAACATCACAGGAGACAAGAAAGTGTCACAGAATAACCCGAGTGCCACCCTCCATTCTGATGAGGGTGAAAGGAATTGTTTGTATTATAATACTGAATTTTCGGTAAAAGTTGAATTCTAATGTGTTTTTTTTTCTAGTTTAGATTCGAAGTGGATTGTTGTGTTCTTACATTTCATTGGTTTCATGATACTTGCTAGTTGAATTTTATATTGGGGAAAGTTTTTAAATGCATACTTGATGTACGTGAACTCACTGCTGGTTGTGATAGCAGGGATCTCAAGGAGACCAGAGGAATGACCATTCAGTCCCTGAACGCAGCGGTTCACAAATTGAAGAGGAAGCACGGGTTGAACCCATCAAGAAATCCCAGCATCGCTCTTCCTCCAGCCAACACCACAACCATCGCAGTGGTGTCAGAGGCCTTTCTAGGCAAGAAACTTTTGACTCAGAAACACAAGACAGCAGAGATTCAGCTTACGTAGAGCCAAAGGAGGACTATTCACACGAGCACGGTGACCACTACGATTCTCACAGGGATCACAATCACAGAGACGAGTCCCATGGGAGCAGTGATCACAGACATAGAGAATCGAGGCATCGCTCAAAGGAGAGGGACCGCGAGCAGGACCACAATGAATGCAACAAACAGCGTAGTCGTCATAAATCAAGGGACCAATATTGTGACAAGGATGGGGAGGTGATATCGAAAAAACGTAACGACGCAGGAGAATGGAACAGGGATGTTTACATCCGTCAGTAACTTTTGCCTCTGGCAGTCTGGTGTTTTTTTGAAGTCTCGTGACAATGCCCCTTGAAAATATCTTTGGGTTCTTCATTGCAGAACATATGGTATCCTTCTGTATGATGATTTGTATTGCTGTTGCTCGCATAGCAATAGCATGAAATAGTATATTCATATACTTACTTTTTTTTGGTTAGTGCTATATGAATCAGTGTAGTACAACTGAAGAGCTCCTGATGTTGTACTATGCCATTTTTCAAGCTGTTTTTCGGTAGCTGCCACTTGAACAATATCTGTTGCCATCAAGGTGTTGTTAAGTGTTTTTTAAAAAAGGTACATTTGATGTTTAATAACTTCCCGTGTATTCAGCAAGCCAGAATCAGCACATAAAAAATCTAAAACTTTTTGTCTGCTCCGATTTTTAATTTGTATGCACTTGATTTGCATATTCATTTAAGAGCCACTCTCTGTTGCTTGTACCTCTGGTGGACTCCATTTGAAGACAGAATTCAGTCTTGCCTTACACACAGGGGATCATGAAGTCAGAATCTATTTTCTATGTACTGGTACTGTGTACTGTATATACAGTTTATAAATGTTATTTCTGCAGACACCTTCTTACTACATAAGTTTGATCACACTGTTTTAGAGTCCTAATGCCAAGTCAGCAGATTTGCTTTTGAATTACTGGCAACTGGAACTAGCCTCATTTTGGAAATCTGTAACAGTGTTCAATCTAAAAAAACTTTTTCTTCTGTAGCAGAAAGCTTTTACTTATTGTAAATATGAGTGAGTGCTTGAGATAAAGGGTCTAACTCTTATACCTTATGCTGTCCTTGCAAACCCAATTTTCCATTTTAAGGTAAAGATAATGAACTTACCACTATAAATTATTCTTCTCTGTACAGGTCACAGAATTGCAATGGACACAGCTTAATTTTTGTTCTATTGTCAGAATAATAGAGCACACGACAGAGGTGTGTATGTGAGTGGGTGGGTGGTGGATGGACATACGTGTGCATGTGCACATCAGGCAGCAAAGTGTGAGACTCTACTGAAGAAAACAAAGGTTACTCAAAAGCCCGACAAGTCTGTTTCTTCATTCTGTCTATTAATTCAAAAATCCAGATTGCAGTCAGGGAATATGAGGGAGTTTACTGACCCAGGTAATTGGGAAAGCATAAATCTGCTGGCTCTTTGTTGAGACTTCAGGAGAGTTAAAACAGGCAAATGTTACTGTGAGTGTTTCACTGGAAATGTAAAATCTTTGTGTTTTAGAGTATTTGTTTTAGTAAGAAAAGTTTACACAGCTTGTGGAGAGTTATTTTGTCGGAAAATAAATTTTTGTAGCTTCTCCACTTTTTCTACACTTGCCAATTCCTCTGCATTCCCACTTTGCAGCCAGCTCACTGCTTCTCCTTCACCTAAACTGTTGTGCTGCTGGTGAGAGCTTAGAAAAATGACTGTGACAAAATACTCTGTTAACGAGCTTGCTAGAGAAAATGCGTTGAAATCAAAGGGAGTGAACACAGTTTGTTTTGCATTGAACACCTGTTGCACTGGTAAGTGGGGGGAAATTCACTACTATTATTTTTGACCACAGGTTCCACACCCTTGCCTAGTGTAAAAGCTGTTCTGCATCACAGGTAGTCTTCGTAGTAATTATATGAATGAAATACTTTTTGTATTTCACTGTAAATAGCACATTATATAAAGACTGTAGAGGGATAATAATTAATTTAGCTGGAAGTTCTTTTTATTTATTATTTTAATTCTGGGAATGTCAACATTGCCTGATTTTGAATATCATTTTAGTGAAATGGATAAGATGTATGGCAGGTGCGTATTTTCTCCAATCTCTATTCCAGCATCCAAACAATTTAGTTTAACTCCCTTAAACATACTTTGTCCTCCCTCTCCGCCCCTCTCCCTGATGCTTTATATGCATTTTTTTTATAAAAATGTAAGAGTGTGAAATTCTGCTGTCAGATATCTGGCCATTCCTCCTACTGCTGCGGACTACCATGGTTATTCAAGGGTAGTATTTGGCTCAAAGCATGAACTGTGGGAACACATGGAAAAGGGTATTTTTCTAGAAATAAAATTATCAGCATTTTTCTAAATATTACTAAATGACTTTGTAGACAAAGGAAGCATAGGTAAGTAGATCTGTTGTATTACTAAACGGATATATAAGAGTATATAAACATGGCTTTTTATACAAGAGGATTTTTAGGGTATCAGTGGAAAACGACATTGAAAGACACTGTTGTTTGAATCGTACCAGATTACATGTAAACGGGAAGAGAAGTTATATTGTCTTGCTCTGTATAACCTGGCTTTAGCTATTCGACCAGTACATGCTGTTGCTCCCTACAACTGTTATATGACAGCTGTGTCCTCCAAGAAGTGATCTATGGATTCCACTTTAATACTTTGATTTTTTAATTATTTTTTTAAACCTTTTGCTCCAGAGAGTATTTATTTTTCACCTTTTAAAGTATTTTTTAAGGAATGTTTGGCAGAATTTCAAAGCACTGAGTATTGTATGAAAACCATCGGGTACGTAGCCATGTATAGACAAATAAATGAGAAAATAAAGAGCATAGTCCAAGCCCTAGTATTTAAGTATGGCCTCTATATTGATGTATGGAATATAAATATCACCAAAAAAAGGCATGTCCCGATACAACTAATGAGAATCATGTTTTGTATAGTGCTGCTAATTACATACAGGCAACATACTAGCACATGCATTTCTTAGGCAAACTCAGTCAGTAGGTTTTTATTAGCCTTGCTAAGATACTTTCCTTCAGTTATTGTTTTAAGAGCGACAAATCTTTTGTAATGTGAGCTTGTACTACACATATTGCACATACCACCTGCCTGCTGAGCACTACTTGTGAAAAGCACTTTAACAGAATTATTTCAGTAAGAAGCTTTAAAAATGCTCCAACAGCATTTGGAGGACATATCAAAGGTTATTGTGATGAAATGTCTTTGCAAAGTTTTGCCAATGAAAGTTTAATATTATTGTTTGCATTAGGATACTAATGAGTTTGTATTTCTGTATCTGGTTTCAGGGGCTTTGAATCTGAGGAATGATAGAGGTCCCAGTGAGCTCCAGAGTCTTCTTATGTATGTGTGGTACCAAACAACCTGTAAAATTTCTATTCAAGTGAGCTAAAAAGATAATAAACCAGTGAGACAGAAGGGAGGAAGACAAAATAGTTAATAGGTCTTGTCAGCTCTCGCTCTGTATTTTTCTAAATAATTTCAATATATGGAAGGAATTGGATGCATTTTAACATTTACATGTATATATGTTAGATGTTAACCTTATTTTTGTATGTCTTTTCAAATGGATACGAGTGCTGTTCAGCAGCCCAAGTCTATCCTTTATCAGTTGTTTAGTGTCACACAGACATCACGGAAGAAAGAATTCTCAAGGAGGGACTGGAAGGAGGTGAGAGTAACAGTCTGCAGACCTGTTAAGGGATAGGACAGTGGGGATGAATAAGCAAACAGGTTTGTGCACAGAGGCAGCATCAGTAGGTGTTCAGTGCTGAAAGAAACTAGTTTTAAATTGATCCATAAATTACTGTCTAGAAATTAAAAAAAAATTCTTCTAGAATACTCATGAATTCATATTCTGTGTCTGGCACCAGAAGTTCAGAATTTGAGAAGAGTTCCTCAATTTTTGCTTCTCAAGGTGTATAATTAAATAGATGGTTTCTCCTAGGGATTTGGCCTTAATTCATGAAGACCAGTTTTAAAGCCACAATGAGTTTGAGTGGAATACTTGTTTTCACAGAAATCTGTAAACACTTAACCTATAGCCCTTACGATAAAAGGAGGATGTGGAAATGAAATTCCACTCATCAAACCCTGAATAAAAGTAGAGACCTATTTTCACTTCTCCCTGCATATCTGGTTACTCATCCTATACATGCAGTGCCTGCCCAGGTCTAATACCCTGCCCCTTAAAACTTACTGTCTTTTATGAATTTGTTAGTAATTATAATTTTTAAGCTCTGTTGGTCTGTAAAGTCGTATTCACGTTCTCTGACACCTGCAGAGGTTTTTATGTGGTCCATTATCCATTCCCTTAGCTAAAATGCAGTGAGTGATCTGATGCTTTTAATCAGTGTCTGTCCAAAGTAAAAAGGTTAGTGTAAACCACCTCCTGTGTTAGTTACTAAAGCCTCTTAAGATTTATTTTGGTTTGTGGTTACATTTGACCTCTGATTTCTTTAACACATCAGGCTGAAAGCTATTTCCCCAATGCATCTGACTTTAATTCTATTCTGTCCATGAAAATAAAGCATATTGCAAAAAACTTTATTATGCAGTCCAGAGGAAGAACAGAGAAATTATTTTTCAGAGTGTAATACAACATTTCTGGTGTAAATTTACTTATATTTATTACTTTACTGCAGATCTTTCACCAAAATTTTAGTTCTTCTATCATCTGTAAAATATGTGGATGCCATTTTTATAGTGAATGTTTTTAATCAAATGTTATTCAATCGAATTTATTGCTTGGCAATTTGTCTATAATTTATTTCTCCACTTTTATATAACAAACTGTTATATATGAGCTTACAGTGGTTTTATAGACAGTTTCTTTTTATAACTTAACCACCCTAGAGATGTGTTCCTACGCAGCCCCAAAAAAGATTTATATCAGATGTAATAGAGATTAAGCTGGTTCTTCTAACTCATCCATGTTCTCTTTTCTTATTTTTACCACTTTTATCTGTCATGCTTACCTACTCTGCAATGAATTCTAGCAGTACAAAATTGGATTTGCTCATAAATTTTTTAGTCGTGAACAATTAAACATAAAGAGAATGTTCTTTGTATTTTAAACTACCCACTCCAAAGTAATTTCTTCTTCATCACCGTCACCAGCCTATTTCTTACTAAAATATTTCCTTTTCCTTAAAAAGCATATGAAATCCTATGATCTAAAAACTGGTGGACTCCATTACGACCCTGAAACAGGAAAAAGCTGTATAATAATTTCATACTATACTAGGCTGCCTATTTTAATATCTTTATATTGACCAAGATAAATATTTAGATTTGGCACTATTACTAGTCACTATTTCTGCAAACAGAGAAAACTACTTTTGAGACTTTCTTAAAGACAGGATCAGATTGCATGCCTAATCTATCTGTTTTGTAGGGTTAATCTTTCATTACAATGACAATAACTTTTTAAATTTATTATATAAATATCTCATATAGTATATATAAATATAAATATATATATATATATTTGATTGTGCTTCTGCACCAAACACTGAAGCATAATGATTCAGTGTGTAAAGCATTCTTATCAGGAAAGTAATCCTATTATATATTAAAAATATATATACACCATACATCAAAATTGTGACAAGAAAGTATTCCTGCACTTCTAGTTAAAGTCACAGTAAGATTGGATAAAAAGGGCATCCATCCAACTTTAGTCATCTAACTTCACCAAGCCTATAGAAGGAAAGGAAGGATGCTGGTTCCTTCAAGGGATGATTTGGAGCATCTTAATTGAGTTTCTGTTCTGAACTGCCTGATGGAGAAGTCTCTCCCCTCCCTGCTCCTCAGTTACCAACAGAGAGAGGGGTCTAGAGGAAACAGCTGAGACTTATCCCATTAATATGCTACCTGTTCTTTTAAGTCTAGCAGTTGACTTTTGCAGAAACAACTCTAATAGTTCAGGTATCAGTAATTTTTTTCAGGTGAAGTCTGATCTGCAATTACATTGGAATCAAATACAAAGTCAGTTACTTTCCCCTCCCCTCCCCCCCAAGAAACTTCTCATATAAAATCAAGTGAGATCACCTTCTCGAAAAGCCTGTTTATCATTCAAAAGTAAAGAAACCTGGGAAAGTCTCAACAAATTTTCCACTAAAAAAATGCAGCAATCTTAATTCTTTCAAATTCAGCATTGCAGAAATCCTGCTACTGAAACTGGAGGCAAAGTTCCTTCTTTATATGCATACGCAAATGTCAGTATATAATCTGTGTGTGCTGATTAATGTTTACAGAATTTCTATATTCTGCAAAAAGAAAATGCATTTTTACTGGCACTGAGTTAAAGATTTCAACATGAACTTAGAATAAAAGACTAATCCCTTTTGTTACCAAGTAATTGTTTTAGCCATATTTAGACTAAAAAGATGGTAATTTATAGTACGAGCTTTCATGATTCTAAATAGGGCATCTCACCTACTACTGATGAAACAAAATTACTTTAATTCTTTAGACATGTTATGGTTTATGGCGAGGAGTGACCAACAAAAGTAGACAAGTAGGAAACTTGATTTGCTCATAAACATGAGCAAGATTGCTCATAATTTGCAAGAATTACATCCTCCTGTCCTGCTAGGATAGGCCTTACAGAAGATCTGTGCTAGTACTAGTCAACCTTGGCAGAACAGAAGAAGAGATGCTTGTTTTATTTAAGAACAGTAGAAAACATATGGTATCAAAACATTTATAGCAAATACAAGTAAACAACCAGACTACTGAGAAACAGAATTGTATAAATTGTTTTGATTGCAAGCAAATGCAAAAGCATTTCTGACAGTAGGAAGACAAATTATAAAAGAAGTATCGCTCCTCTTAATCCAACCAAAGTTATGTGTGAAAAGACTGACATTTTTCAGATAACGCTTTTAAAACTGGAAATTGATGAGTGAGAGGAAAAAAACACACACACAGATGTCAGTTTTCGTTTATGAATTGTGCTTTCCTCTCTTCCCCCTGATTTTAGTGCTATGGTCAGTTCTCGTAGTACTGAAGAAAGAGAATACTGTTCAAATGGAGAACATCTCTGGAACTGAAGCAGAATTTTTAAATACACCTAACACCTTTAAGAAATTTAGATTATTAAAATTTTGAGCAGTGTATAAAAGCAGTTCTCATTAGCATGCTTCCCCAGTTTCAATTTTCATATGATTTTAGCTGGTGATGCTTTCTATCCAATAAAGAGTTGATATTCTTAGTTGTTTAAAAGGTGATTTGCAACATTTCAGACGGTATTATGCATTGTTTCCTGTCTTTTGATATATTAATCACAACTGTAGCCCCTTCTGTTGCAAATGTTTGATTTTAAAATTGTCACTTGTCAGCCAGTCCATAGGCTATTTCAGAACCAATACAGTTTATGCATGGGAAGTTTGATGTTGAAATAATATTTATTTACATTCCCAGAGTGAGATGGTTTAATATATTCATGCTGCTATAAAAGACATGCTACAAAGCCTAATCGTATTTTGTGTATATAGTATGTGTACAGAGAATCTTGCTTGTATTAAAATAAAAGACAAATGAGGTTCTAAGTATCAATTTATAAAACAGTTCTTTGTAAAATGTTACAGTGTTTTGTGAAGCACTATTCAATGAAACATGAACTACTGGTAAACTTCCATAGGAACTACCTTTTCCAAAATTCATGATAATAGCTCCCATCTATTTTATTTATGTTTGCGTTCCATACAGTAGCTTACTTCCCCTCCCAGAGAAACCCTGTTCCCACCCTCGCTGCACTGGGTAAGTGGGGAAAGATGGGAAAGCCAGAACAGACAGCAGTATGATTGAACATACTTGTCATTCATGTGCTGACCTGCTGCAAATACAAAAGCAAACGGAGACTTAAAACTGATACCGCCCTTCCCCCAGCCATGACTTTCTTTCTGCAACCTGTGGCTCTTTCCCAGCAGAACAGCTGGCAGATTTTATCGCTGCCATAGCAACCCTGCCGTCAGCCCGTTGGCTTGGCAACACCACAGCAGCAAGAAACACACTTCACGTCTCAACTGTGCTTAGACTCACAAAGGTATTTTTTCAGGTTGCACTCCTAAATGCTTATTGACTTTTTGATTTAACAAATTTTGCAATAAAAAATCCTATACAGTCCTTATTTGCCAGTGAAATCAGATCATCTTCCCTGGAATCTTGCAAAGAATTAACATCCATGCCTTGCAGCGTCACAGCAGATGGATCAAATCTCTGCAGCAGCTTCAACTGATCAAGCGACAATCCAGCGCCCCTCATGCCTTCTCCTCCAATGTGAGGTTCCTTTTCCATTAACAAAGAAAAGCAAATTACTGCATCAGTAAAGTTCTTAAGTGCCCTACATGTATTCTGCTGAGTATATGCAGAGCTGCCTAACTGTTGACATGGACAAGCTGGCTTTGTATCATTCACACCAGGGGAGGATTTAGAAGTAATGTGGCCCTTCTTTTCTTGCCTTCGTCTGCCCAATATGTATACAAGCATATATAAATATACAAGGTCCAAAGTACCTTGAGGAGGTGGTGGTGCACCTCATCCACTTCAGCCCAGTAGTTTAGAGCACTTATTGAGAACAGGCACACAGGTCTAAATCAATTCATTACTTAAAAGACTAAAACATCACAAGAAAGCTGTTATCGCCAGACAATAAGAAGTTCTAAAGGCTTTAGATTTTCACTTCTAGATGATGCAGCCCTTCTGTGTACTGACTAATAGCTATGAGTTAAGTCAAAAATAGTGATTCCTTAGCTAGTTACTAACATACTCGGTAACGGTAGTAGACACACCTGGACTCTTCACATTAAAACTTCAACTGGAGAGACTGAAAGCCCCAATCCAGAATACTTTACTGCCCCAAAAGGCATCATTTTGGAAGATAATGCAGCAGAAAAATCCGAGCTTCAGATTTTTCTATGTCATATAATTAGACTAACAGGTAAATGGGAATACTGTTACCACCCCTGTGTAAGTATATGAGGCAGAGGAAGAACGAAAGGAACATCTGAATTCACGAGATGACATCTGGCATCAAAATGCTGAAGAGAAGGGCTTAAAGTTACAGCCCTTTTCTCAGTATTTCTTGTGAGTAGTCTTCACTGCTTTTTATTTAAGACGCCGATTCCTGGAGAAATCTAATTCTTCGCTAGATCGTTCTTCCAATGCATTCAGCAAGGAGTTAGAACCAGATGTACAAAAGCTGGCATTGCAATATCAAAAATAGATCTCCTTTGTAAATCTGATCTAGCGTAGTCTATAATGCAGCCTAAAGCAGAGCATTTTTTTAAGCCTTCACACTTTGCTAAGACATGAGCTCACCCAGTCAGCACATGACGCGAGTTAACTGCTTAACCACATACTGCGCGCTGTAAAGCTGGGCAGCCAGGAGGCTGCAGCCTGATCCTTCTTTTTGTTTCCCTCACCATGATTTCAGGTAGGAGACAAACAGAGGTGTCCATCACAGATTGAGAAAAAATAACACACAAAGGGAGACAAGGGTAGTGACTTGACATAATGTAATAGAAGGATGGAAAGGTTAAAAAAAAAGGTCAAGGGAAAACAGTATTACACAGGCTTAAGCAACTTGCTCAAAGACAGACCAATTTTTTCCTCTACCTTTTCCTTCCAGTTAAGTTACTGCATTTAAGCTGATACACAGTATAGCCTGTATATAAATCTCTAAGAGGAAGTAAGTCTGCACAGACAAAGGATCAGCTGCCACGCAGTAACCTCCACCTACATGATCAACACCTATGACTCCATCTCCTGTTTTATCCCTTACCCAGCATGATTCCAGGATTTGTTGCTAAAGTGAGACAGTGGGAGATAGTGGTCTGGGTATAAAACAGGTGTCCATTAAGAGACTAAAGAACATGGGAAAGAATACATGAAGAAGCACGAGGTAAGTCAGCCCTAGACTCCAGTAGATTACCTTAGTTTACACTACTGGGGAACTGGTTGCGAGATACTATAAACTATCTGTGGATAAACAATTCGGTGTCATCTCATTTGAAGTGTACTATACACAAAAGCTTAATTTTTACAGATAGGGCAATTGTGTGTGAAAACTAGTGCTACTAGACTGACAGTACTGGTGAGAGAAAGTCTATTAAACCAGAATTAATCTTGCATTTGAGTTAACAGGGCATGTGTTTTGCTTTGTTGTTCTATCAAGGATAATTTTTATGCTTTTAGGTAAAATATATAATCTCAGTTGAAACAGCTGGAACTGAAAAATTCCTAGTAGATGAAGGGGAAAAAGCAGGCAGAATAACCCAGACATAGAAATCTTTCAAGAAAAGCTTCAGTTCTGTTAAATCTTTACCATCTTTCATATAATTTCTCATTGTACACCTATTGTATATATTTTTTTGATTTCAGTTAAAAGATGCATCTAAACTTCTCAAGAGAGACACAAATCATCACAGAATGTATAAGTAAGCTAAACGTGTATCAAGAGTTAACTTTTCCTCAAAGCCATGATGACAAACAACTAACTCACCCAACTCATCACATCACCAAAGAGGAAGGCAGACGCATACAGTCTGATGATAAACTCTCTCAAGGTACTAATAAAGGTAACAGATATTTTTGAAATGTATGCGGTATAGATAAAAAATTCTACCATCTCCCTATATATTACCTCCTTCCAGACATCTTAATGGTAGACACTGACTCCAGAAAAGACAAGGTACCTTACTGGGACACTGAGCCTGAAATAAATTTATTCCTTCATTCCTTTAAATAACACAAAAATAGCTCCCATACATATAAAATCTTCCTTCCTCAAAACACAAGGTTCTTTCCATTTTTCTCCTGTCCTTTATGCAAGTCTTCACTACTTCAGGAGTATTAATAAAAAATTTTTCACCTCTCCTTTGAATGTGCAAAAAAAGAGGATAAAATACATGCATTAAAGAAGAATTGCAAGAGAAATTTTAACCTGACTGAACTATCTTTTGTCCCTGTGATGTTTTAAATGACTGTTGTACAAAGCAAAACAACCACAGTAAACAATGGGAAACTACTTAACGTTCCTTAAGTGAAGCTCAATTAAACACGATAATAGATTTAAAAGAGCTTCAGAAATCCTTGTGTTATTTCCATCCACAGCAGTTAGAATTGTCTGCAGTGAAAAGAGATTTATTGATACTAAATACAGCGTGTAATTTTACAGTGCCAAAAAAAGCTCACTGGATTGTGTGAAGTACTCTGAAAATACTATTACCTGTGGCTGAAGCTGGAGGTATGGAAAAGTTTTCAGGGCCCAAGCAACTTGCTCCTCATTTTCAGAGAGTGTAATTGTACATGTACTGTAAACTAAAACACCTCCAGGCTTCAGCAATTTCACTGCCTGCAGGGAGAAATAAACAATAGTTCAGCTTATTTTCAAATGCAAAAACTTGTGTATTAAGCAACATTAACCAAGAAACCATTAAGCTATAATATTAAAACTTAGCACTTAATTAAACTCAAATCTTTCTATCTAAGGTAGGCATGGGATACTAATTCTTCTCAGGGAATACAGCAAAGGATCCCATGGATTTGAAAGGTTCTTTCCAAAACAGCATTATAGCTCATGCAGTTTGTTAATGCCATTGAGATGATTCACCTTGTAATACTTGTTATTGGCACAACTATGTATATCCCAGACAGATTAGTTCTGTTTTCATCACCTGCTGCCAACCATGGACACACAGCATTTTTATCAGTGATATTAAATGTCAACTGTTTCCACATATTTGTCATGGGAGCTTTATCTATGCTGCTTTCAAGCTGTGGTTCACTTTGAATACATGTAATTCAGATTTAGACAAGTTTCATGAAATCTCACCCTTCAGCATCAGCTCAAGCACACTCCTACTAGCATGAAAAGTTGTAATATGGCTTTGTACTCCGTCTTATATCCCATACAGTACCTCACAGCACCACTGCATGGGAGTTCTATGCAGTGAATTTACAAGAGTCTGTGTTGCTGCAGAGAAAATACTTTAACCTGCTCCGTGACTTAGACCTTTGCAATTATTTTAAACTAAAACTGATGAAACTGAAGGCTTACATATACCTTTCCCATGCTCCAAAGAATTGACTTCACCTAGCAACAGGTACGATGGAGCTGAGATGTTAACTGAATCCTAACAGTATCTTCTTTACTTAACTGCTGAAAAGGTAGGGAAAATGAAGCATCACTTTTCAGTATGAAGTTTTGTGCTGCCAAAGCATTTATGTTTGATTTAGCTTATCTACTCAATGATTAATACATACCACAGTGAAAAGCTTGCGCTGTAGTGGCTGATAAGAGGTCACTTCTTTTAAAGTCGAGGAATAAGACATGTTTGGTCTCTGTCCCATCCCACTACATGGAGCGTCAAGAAGTATTCGATCAAATGACTCTGGGAAGAATGGAGGTCCTTCTGTAAAAAGCACTTAGTAATGTAAAATGTGACTGTTTCTTTCCTTGAGACTTCACCATAGATAAGGACAAGCTGTTACTTCTTCGTTTTCTATAGATGGTGTCTGCAAAAGTGGGCTCAGCTAGAGACAAGTCTCAGCACTGCTGGTGGTAGATTGCATCTCCCAGAAAACTAAGAGCTCTAGTTCTGTGAGCTCAAACAATATATCATCCCTTTAGATAATAATATTTTTAACCTTAATTTAATAATTTGAAAGTAAAATGTAAAAGTAATCAAAGTCAGAGGTGCTGGGCTGCAATGAACCACAGTCAGCTCACAGCTGAACCAAATGGGCAAATCTTTACTGAGAGAAGCCTGTAGTTAACCATTAAGACTGACTTTAATAATAATAATTGGGCTGTCTATATAATAACTATTTCTTGTGATGCATATATATCTGTAGGAAATAAAGCACTTCATAATAACATGAAATATTACAAGTTCTAATGTGTGACAGACGCTGTCTCCACCAAAGAATAGTTCAGTAAACAAGGATTGTGAAGACAACAATTTCTGAACATTACCTGGATGGATAAAGGAATATGTAACTTCTGTATGCAGAGCCTATCCTTTCATCTCAATCCCACTGGCTCAACAGCCCAAAAGTTTCTATCACCTTAGTGCTAGAAAGACTCTTCAGCTCAGCATCCCCAAGACAAAAGTGGCTCCATATGTCTATCTGCGAGTTCCCAATGAGGAAGAGAGCCATATATATGCTTTACCTAATTTTCTCCTCTGTTCCTCAAATATTCAAGTTAGGTCACAAGTGAACAGAAGTGGGTGACTTCACACTACTGCTACCTAGCTTGTTCCAGCACTGCAAAATAAGTCTATTTTGGCAGTACTGATTTACCTATCTCTGATCCATTGCTACAACATTTAAAATATGTCATGTCGTACTTGCTGGGATGTACAGAAAAGTTTTCATGATCTCTCAGTATTACGACTAGCTCTTGTTCATCTGTGTAAAGTGCTACATATCACCTACGATATTTTACATTCATAGAAAGACTATTAAGAAAGTACCTTTATTCCTCCAAAGCAGGAATAACTGCAAGGCATAGGGACAAGGAAGGTGAATTACACAACCTGATTCCTACTTAGGCTAACACGTGATTGGGATAAAATGGAGTGAGAAAAAACAGCATACTTTGCACAACAAACTAAAAATAATCAAGACAGCAGATACCATTTAAATTGTTCCATCATGGGAAAAGAACCAGTATCATAAATACAGCCCTTCAGAAAAGCAAATGAAATAAACTTAAAATAATACACTGTGCTTCTACAGAACTTCCCCTTGAACAGCTGAACAAACATCAATGAACTAAACCTTGCAGCACTCCTGGGAGTTAGGTATTAATAACCCCATTTACAGATGAGGATTCTGAAGCAGAAAAGCCAAGCAATTCTGCAAAAGTATTTTTTTTTCTCAGACTAAGTCAAACAAGTCAGAGTATGGAGTTAAACATTATCACGAAAGAAGCTTTAGGGCTTCTTCAGTCTCTGATATTACCTGGGAAAGGAATGCATTTCCTTTGAGCATACAGGGTTGTAATAAGGACAGATAGTTTGAGTTTTGTATTTGCTTCATAGGGAAGCTGATAATCACAAAAAAGTAGAAAATAAAAGAGCATTCACAGTGCTGAAGTAACGTGGATATCTCCCAAGATTCCAAGGACTTTCAGACCTGTGGCAGGTTTAATACTATTAGTGCAAAACTATTTTCTTCTAAAAGCCAAATTGTTTACCTTGTTCATCCTCTCTCTTCTCAACTGAAAGTGCCTTTGTTCCATCATAGCAAAATGCCTTAATGCAATTCAACTGTAGCAATTCAGTGTTCTGCTTAATTTTTTTGACCTTGTTAGCTATCTTGTCCATGGCTATTACTTCACCCTGAAAAAAAAGTGAAGTTTTTATCAAAAGCATAGGGATTAAATGGATGTGCAATTCCTGATTTCCTTCCCCCTCCATGCACAATGTAATGAATGAAGCTTAGTTTTCCCTAAAAAAAAGTTATTCTTTAATCCACACTGCAGTAGTCCTTGTTCACCATATTTTCCGTGATACCCTCATTAGGCTAGATACTAGTCTGAAGCTCTGTGCATGCTGACTGGCAATAGCTGCTTGGCACAGTCAGCCCCTAAGGGACCTGTAACTGGTTTGAAGAATTCCTGTGCACAAAGCTTACCCAACACTCGATTTTTATGGAAAAACACAATGCTATTTATTGTTCTGTCATAGCCTTGCAAAAAGCAGTTACTAGCAAAAACAACAGTATTTAGTGCTCTGGTGTAGCCTTGCAGAAGCAGTTACTAGCATATTGTTCAGTTATAGCCTTGCAGAAGCAGTTACTAGCGTATTGTTTCCCCTTCTGAGAGCCTTACCATCCTGACTACGCCCGAGACTCCGCCGAGCAGGAGGGTGTCAGTTAGCGGGGCCATCGCGGAGAAGGGAGGCAGGCACGGCACCTTCAGGGCGTCCCCTGTCTGTTCATAGAGTGCTCTGTAGCTTCCCCCACTCCGTTCTGAGCCGCCTCTTTTACACCCTCAGCAGAGTCTATGGAAAGGTACTGACGAGGAGTTGCTGCGCGCATGGCCAGCCAAGTACGGGCTCTGCTGGCTAACAGCGGTTTTTCGGATCACAACATGTTGTTCAATAACAACCCTCCCAGCTCCCTTTTTCAAGGTTACGTTCTCACAGCTGAGTCCAGGTTATAATTATATCTGTTAAATAAAAATCCTCTCAGTTCCCTTTCTCACAGCTGAGTCCAGTTAGTAATTTTCTGTCGTGGCCCTACACAGACCACCACCTACAATCCCTTACACAGGACCCTAATAATGCCTAACTTCTGGCAAGTGTTTTTTCTGTTTGTTTTGAAGTGTTTTACTGGGCACTGAGTTAGGTAAAAATGTAATCATTCGAAAAAGGGTAGAAGTCTCAAATACATGATAAAATAGGTCAACAAGTGTTAAATTTGCATGGAGATGGTAGGAAACATGATCACACAGCTCAGTCTTGAGGAAATGAGGCTCACAGCCACGCCTTTGGCTTGCTGAGACTCATACTGTTATACTTGCAGTAGCTGTCACTCAAGTTACTTTGGGAAATACTGTCAATGCTCGAATAAATTTAGACATGAGAGGAGGGGAATCACAATCACACATTGTTCCTTTTATGTAAGACTAAGTTTTCTCTTTTCTTCTCTCAAGATAAATCAAAACAGACACGCACCACTATCTGCTAGATGAAATGTAAACACAAAGGAAAGTAAATAGTAGCATCAATAAAATTCAGAACAGTAATACTATCCTTAAAAAAAATAAAAAAAAACAAAGACCTCTACTAGACTTGCTAAAGCAAATAGAATCTGCTGAGAAAATATGACAACTTTTTCCTACTTAGTGATGGCTCTCTAGAGGCTTATGGAAGGGTAACATGACTAAGATAGTGTAAAAAAAAAACAAAAAAAAACCCAAAAATACTTCAGTAAAGATAAGCTGTTGACTGTATGTCATGTTAGCCAATATGTAGGTCTAGGACTGAGAAGTAAAAAAGGATTTATGTTGTGTCAGCGAGGTCCAGTCTTCAGCTACTGTGAACCAAATCACCTCTTGCAGGAGCACTCAATGACCATGTACCACTGCTTCTCCTCTATCAGCGTTCAACCTATTGTGTTGGAAAAAACGGTCGTCTGGACTCAGATCCACATAATAATAAATTCTCAAGCTTTAACTGTTCCCAATTCCTATTTAAAAGCTCTTAACAATACAGAGTAATTTTACATTTGGATTATCTAATGTAAAAAGACTATACTAATTTTTGCAATTAAATCACAAAAAATATAAGATTGATTCAAATATTCTGAAATGTTAATTATTTAATACACTGTCTATGGAAATTTAGTATGGAACATGTGAATAGAACATAAGAACCAAAAAGCAGTGTAAATTTACTAATATATTTTTCCATAAATTAAAATTACATACTCAGAAAAGGAAAATCAATTTGGATAAATTTCAACATCTGTATTCTTATTCTTTACCACTTCAGCGAGAGGTAAGCACAATGAAAATATCTAACATTCCTAAGGAAAAAAATAGTTATGCAAAGTTATACGAAATGTACATACACAGTTGGACAAAGTATAGATGTGAATAAATCCATGACAGAAATACATGCTTTTACAGACTTCCTTCCTTTATCACACTGAAATTCTTTACTGGAAGCTTTATAAATCTATCTAATAAATGTCTAATGACTGTTTATGCATGTTTAATGCATATTTGCAAACTTTCCGTACTGAGGGAAGAAACACTTCCAAGCAAACTGTCACAGAACTGAATACATCTTTTCTAAATACCTTCACATCATTACCCACTGTACCTTCCCACTAATGCACAACTGTTGAAGTACTGCATAATGTAACTGCAAAATTTTGAAATAATCTGATATATTCTAATGAACCTATTCCAACGAAAATAATAATGCCTTACAAAATTTTTAGAGGAAACGTTACACATTTTTCCCTTCTTTGCTAGAAAAGAGTCTTTCATTTTGCACACAGCAATATAATATATACAAATTGTTATTCCTATATCCATATTCCTTTTAGCTTCTGTGTTATTTTCCTTTGCTTTTCTCTACAGATTTTTTTTTGTTTCTTCTCATGTTGTTACTTTCTCATGAGATATTTTTGGGTTTGTGACCTCCTACCTCAGAATGACAAATTCAGGCTAGAAATTCAGTCCAAGATCATATTTGTACTGCACAACTGATAATTTTTACTGAAAAGAAAATTAATTGGATTAGGAACATTTTAGTATGTTTCTACAGAGTTGTGCATTCTTTTGGCACACAGTAGGATCCCCTGATTTCCACGTATTCTTAGTTTCATGAATCCAGCGTACTCCTGTGTAACTTTGCCTTGCACGTTATGAATTATTCCATTACAAATAAATCAGTAACATTTAAAAAAGTTAATTCGAACATATTTCAATAGGTCAATTTGCAGCAAATAAGGTTTTAAATGTGATGGTGACTATTTGATAAAGATAGTCTGTGCTGATTTCAGTAACTCTGATGTGTAGCAAAATATATTATTAAGCAGAAGTTTTAAATATTAATTGTTTGATGTTTAAATTATCTGTGCATTCTGACAACTAAGTGAAGTGAGCTGTGCAAATGAACAGTGGTCAGACTTTCTTAACTGAGACAGAAAATGCTCAATGACTTCTCTTACCTTGTCATGCATTAATGTTGCAAGATGGGTGGTTTTTCCTCCAGGTGCAGCACACATATCCAAAATTCTGTCTCCTGGTTGAGGGTTTAAAATATGGCTCACAACCACAGAAGGCAAGTTCTATCATAAAAGCAAATACGTGAGAATTCAAACTTTATGTCCTGTATTAAGGAATGACAAACTCATTGAAACAAAAATTCATTCAGCAGTGAAGATACCTATGACATTGCTGTCAGTTCCTTAACAGAAAATGAGCAATTGGCATTATATAAAAGGGACAGTATAGGTCAGAAGTCTCCAGTGGCTCCTTTTTTATTTAAAGTTATATGTGAGCATCTATAACTGAAGTTTAAGGGTTCACGACTACAGAGACTAATAGTCAGAATAAAATAAGCTGATACTGTCACAGACATAGAGCAGCTCTGTATGTTACATATATTTTATACTAACCTGTTTATTGGAACATTTATTATATGAACATACTGGTGTAGTACAGTAGCAAACAGTGAGATCAATAGGCAGGAGTTTAAACCTGCTGAATTAAGGCACCAAGAAGCTGAATTGCACTATTAATTGTATAAACAGAACAGACACACTGAAGAGAAAAAATATGTAATAATTGTGAACAGTATTACATCTTACATAAGAGAAAATACTCTGAAAGATTCTAACTTGGTTCAGCACAAAGGTATAAAAACCTTCTAAAGTTGTCTTTACTACATGTTGTCTTTGGTTAGCACAGTTTCAAGTTTCATGCCACTGTGTTCAAAAAAAAAAAAAAGAACAATAATTCATGTCACACATGGCAAATTCAGGTCAAAAAAGCCGGGCTCGAAGGGTTGCCATTGGTGGCACAAAGTCCAGCTGGAGGCCAGTCAATAGTGGTGTACCCCGGGGGGTACACTGGCGCCAATGTTGTCTAACCTCTTCCTTAAGAGACCTGGATAATAGAACAAAGTGCGTCCTAAACAAGAGGATACAGAGCATACAGAACTGGAAAAAGTGGCTGATAAACTGGAAGATTGTGCTGCCATTGAGAGGGACCTTGACAGGCTAGGGAAATGAAGAAACAGAAATCTCAGGAAGGCCAACAAACAGAAAATCTAAATCCTCTGGCACACTAATTATCTTAGAAATCTAATTGAGGTGTTCACCTTATCGTTTTATGTTAGCAAACTGAAATCAAGAATTTTACCTGATCTAAGAAAACTACAAAGTTATATGATTTCATCATCCCAAGTTTCAACATAACACAGGTGGCCAATTGTCATATCTGAGTATTACATTTAATTAGTTTTATTGTGGGGGAAAATGAGTATAGGTATCACAAATATTAAAGATGTGAAACAAAAAGCCAGCTTGAAATAAAGACTAAAATTTTACAATACAAACTACAGAAAAAAATTGTCATTCTTTGGAAGCTATGCAGTTTTATGGTAAGAAATAGTGAAAGCTGTGATCCTGCAAGATTTTTCAGGGTTATTGTGTTGAGATGGATTTTTTCCCTTGGGGCTAAAAAGATAGGGATTTTCTGTTTAATTTCAAGGCAAATTGATATTTGAAGATTTTCCTGATTATCTACAGAAGGATGTACCTTGAAAGAGGCTCATATTTCAGAGTTCATGTGCAGATTCCAAAAACTAAAAGTTCTATGCAGAGTATCTGTACAAAAAAAAATTTCTAAGTTTTTAAGTTAATATCTCTTAAGTCACTTTGAAGTCCCTCATCATCATATCTCAGACACAGTATGATTAAACAACCTACGTGCAGACACTAACTTCATTCTAAACACTTTGTTTTCTTTAAATCCAAAGAGTGAATTAAGTGCTATAATACACAATGAATATATAAAGTATTAATGTGTGCTTAGAGGATATTGATTATTCTGCAAATAGTACAGACTTTTATTTTCACAACAAACATACCTGTAAAAACAAATGACTAGGGAGCACGTTGTCAAATGAAGGACTAAGGTAGACTGGCTCTATCATTCTTATGCCCATCCCACTGAAAAACAGGAAAAAAAAAATATTTCAACTACTCAGAGATATAATTTTTAATACTATTCAATTAAAATCATTATGCTTACAAATAGAAACTTGAAAACAATCTTATAAAAACGAAAGCACTTATAAATCAACTAAGAAAAACACTTCTACAATTTTGTAATCTGATATTCTTTAAAATTACATCATTACTTGGGTAAACCATAACAAAAAATGTACTACCTTGTAAACGGGAACTATCTGCAAAAATTGCATAAAAGAATTTATCTTTTTTGTACATAAGACAAACTGAGATCTAACCCAAGCCTTGATAATGTAAAGAAATGCATAAAACCAGATTTAAAGATGTTAATTTCAATCCATAACTGCTTTTGGATAGACATATGCATTAGGGCACTGACATATGATTTCCTACTTAGATCTTCCTCCATTTTTCTAGACTGTCTGAGATTTCAGTCAAATAACTAAAGAAATTCTATTTCAAAAGCCTTACAGCAAAGGTTTGAACTTGAAAGCAACCTAGAAGTTTTAAATATGGATGAAGTTCTGACAGATTTCATTAAGACAATGTACAAAGAAATGGATAACAATAAAAAGAAAAAAAACATATTGAGCCTGAAAACAACAGATTAGTGAAAATAACAAGTATTATTTTGCATATGCACTGCATAGTCCAACAAGAAGAAGGAAGGATATGAGAAAGCAAACTTGCAGACACCAGATTTAGTGTTACATACTGCCATTCCATGTCATCACCTCAACAGGTATATCCTACCACTACTTCTACTATATTTAAGCTCTAATAAATCAGAAAACCTCTAAGAACGCCATCTTTTTTACTAGATCTTTTGTAGTTTGCTCTCGGGATGTAAAGTCTCAGTCACTAATTTGATGTCCATGCTCTTCTACACTGCTTTTTAAATGTGTTTTAGATGACAGAAGAGGAACAAACCATATGCTTTGGCAACAAAATAGAAAAGCATGTAATCTTGAAATGGGTAACTACCTCGGCAAATTCTATTAATTTTTTTAAGATATCTGACCTTACATTCTGTCCCCTTCCCCAGAAAAAAAAAAAAAAACTACAAATATTTTTAGAAGATGGAGACATGGTGTGATGGTTTGATGGAGGGGCGGAGGGGTGTTCTGGTGGCAGGAGAGGGGATTTGCTCCCTGTGACCTCCCTGGTTTTGGAATTGGGTCAGACCCAGTTCTGGCCACCAGATCAGACTCACATCCCCCTCGGGGTTGAGCCAATTGGCGCGTCTGTGAATTGCTCTATTTAAGTTGGGACAAAGAAACCGGAAAAGGTGCTTTTGCCCAGGAGCGAGGGAAGGGGAGGAGGTCCCTGCCCCCGCTCCCCAGCTCCCAGCCAGGCGGCTGACTGTGCTGGGCCAGCACCACCAGCTGAGGATAGCAGTGGCGGAGCCGCCTGGGGAACTTGGGGAGCACCCCACTCCCGGGGTGCCCGCTGGGCTGAGTTCATCCAGAGAGGACTGAGATATGAGAGAAACGGCCACACCGACACCAGGTCAGTGAAGATGGAACAGGACGAGGTGTGCCGGAGCTGAGTTTCCCCTGCAACCAGTGGCGAGACAGCCG